TAGATAGGCCTAAATAAAAGGTTTTTAATTGTGTACCAGTTTAACGTTGAATATTATTTATAATTTTAACCAAGTTAAGTGCTTGATTCTCTGTCGCAACAAATGATGCCATTATTTCAAAAACCATCATACATCTTTATTACACACACTCGTCCATTTTGCAGATTTCAAAAAGTGTTTTTTTAGCGAGTTAAACGTAAACAGAAAAAGTTGAAGATAAAACAGAGACATTAAAAAATACAAAAATCGATAAAAGAAAATGTCAACAAGGGCCTAAAAATATATTAATAAAATGAAAGGATTCGGCCACAAATCAAATCGCATTGAAATAAACGCCATAAGTTACGTATAATTATTCATTAAAGTATATATAATAATAGAAACCAAAGCATTTCAACTATACTTGGCCTAACATACAGACAATTTACGAAGAAGAAATATTTCAACATCACATATACCCAGCATTTAAATATGCTGTTTCATTTTGTTTCCAAATGTTTTAGTACGACTGAACTAATATTTCTTTAAATTAGACACTGAATATTTATATCGCCGTTTTAGTAACGACAATAGCAAAACATGTTTCGTTGTTCCTCAACATGCATGGAAGCATCCTTTTGAAGGCTTATCAGCACGGCTTGGGCTGGTAACTCAAAAAAATACGGTTAGGCCTCTGATAACGGTGATTTGTATACAACATTAATGGAATTTTAAGTTTTTTTTCAGTGACCAATAAAGTAATGTAAGTCAGTAACGGCCAATCAGAGAAAATATTAAGCCTCTACGTCGTAGATTCTCTTTTCCATTTTACGTTTGGTGAAATTGGAAAAGAAATCTGTAACATATATATATGTGATCATTAAATACTTGAACCGATATATAATGTGCAATAATGTTTTAAGCACGAGCTCTAACATTATTTAAATACTTAAATTATTTTAGGTTATTTTATTGGTGATTGGAAAGGACTTTAAAACCCCATTAATATTAAACTATTATTTTATTGTACATTTTATAGCAAATGAACCTTTTATTTCTTTTCTTTTAAAAGAAAAAAGCTAACATATTTTCGGAGTGATTTCCAAATAAAATTCTATTAATTTTCTAGGGCCAGTCGAAGGATTTGCGACATCCGAAGAAAAGCAAGAATATTTTTCATTTTCCGTTGATTCTAGTCACAAGCAAGTCCTATCTCATCGTCTGTCTTCTTGTGAAAACCAAATTAAAATTTGTTTGTGGTCAAGTTTGGACAGTCGTATCAACTGCAAGGATACTAGTTGTGTGAGAAGTAATTTTACCATCACAAATAACGAGAAAAAAATTGACTTGATGCTACCATTGTCCAAAGGAGTTCAGAATCGTGAAAAAAAGAACATTGCTCCTATTTGGATAATCTTCGTCTTTAGTTTCTTAACAATATTTATAATTTGTTTGCTGTTATTCGTTGCATACATGAAAATCAAGAAAACACAGCGAAATGGTAATGATATTAGGTTCCGAGTTGAGAAAAAAATCTGAGATTTTCTTTACCAAACTGGAACGGCTTTAGTTTTAGTTGTTGTTTTTTATATAAACTCCATCATAAAACCTAGAATCATTTATTGCCAGAGTTTATTTTATTTTTTCTGATTACTGAAATAGTTGGCTGTCTGTTTTCTAGACTGCTGACTTGGGTTTGCAACACGACGCTTCCACAAATATTCTGGTCGACCCCTCTCTCACACTTTCCAGAAGTTCACCTTGGTTGAATATCTACCAGCAGAAAGCACTTGGTTATAGCATGTGGTTGTATATTATTGGACATAAGGTTAAGTTTTAAATGGTTCAACAGCAGGATGTGAGGATTTACGTGCCCAGAGTGCGGTGTGAACTTCTGAGTGTAAAATGGTGCGAACATTTTCCTTGTCCCAAACATTCTGAATATAGTTTCAAAATAGTAGTTTAGTGAAAAACAAATATTAAACTTTGGCATTTACCTCTATCCGTGACTTTAGCAAAATTGGCAATCACTATGTATTTAAATGGCAAGGTTTTGTTATTTAATTTATTTCAGAATCTTCACGTAAAGCTACACAAAATCTGTTTGAGCTGGCAGTTTATAATTTCTAACTGGTAGACTAGAGGAAAAACAGCTAGTCAACAGCGCCCACCGCCAACTCTTGGGCTACTCTAATCGAATAGTGGGATTCGACTATTAAACTGATAACGTGATCACGAACAATGGACTTTTGCATTTCTATTCAGGCTCACTAACTACTGGGTCATACCCAGTCCAAGCAAAAAAGGTTTACTGGGCCGTCGATGGACGGGCTTGTCCTATTGGTTAGCGATTATTTGATTAGAGTACCAGCAGGGAGTAATATTGTTTGTTTAAAGTTAAGCACAAAGCTACACAATGGGCTATTTGTGCTCTGCCCACCACGGGTATCGAAACCCGGTTTCAAGCGGTGTGAGTCCGCAGACACACCGCTGTGCCACTGGGGGGCGAGTAATATTGACTAGCTGCATTTCCCCCTTAATCTATCAGTTCGAAATAAGGAACCGCTTGCGATAGTCCTTGTATAGCTTCGCGCGAATTGCTGAAATAAACTATCGCCGATGTGACATCACAAAAAAACTTCTTAACTACGTGCAGGATCTGCATAAGAACGAGTTGTGTTATTAGGTCTCCGTGCATCTGTATTTTCAAATCTTATATTTTTATTTTCTCATAGAAACTGAATAATATTTTTTTTTCAGAATAAAAGGGTGCACCCTTTTCCACTACTTCTCGACTTTCTGAAAGTCCTCTGATGTGTCAGTTCATCGACTTACAACGCTAAAATCGGGGATCCGATTGCTCACTGTGAAGTGAGCGAAAATAGTGCATTGTGTAGCTTTACGCTAAGAAAACAACAAATATACGCCTTTCTAAGACATTTCAATTTAAGTTTACAACGCATGGGGGTCACCACCAGGGAAACAGAGTTTGCACGATCTCTTCACTTTTGTAACAAGACGGACGGAGTATGGTATTCCCTTAACGTACCATGAATAAAATAAAGCTTTCAAAATGTCTTCTATGTGACATAGTAGCGCTTTTTTCTTACTGTACAACAATGCTACTTCAGTAAGCAACAGCAGAATTCCGAAAGAAAATGATATTGTTGCATTAGGTATCTAAGCAACTATATCACGTGTTACTAGCAGCAGAACCATAATGTTAAATTGTATTATTTTATTTATTCATCCCCACGACTAGTTGTTCAGTAGACCCCCACCATTTGTTCGTATTTGACGGGACCTCTGATATAATATGTATGAAGATTACGACAAGACCCTTATAATAAGTTGTCGTGAATCATCCAAACTGTTATTCGTAAGTATAAAGTATTTCTTCTGCCTGTGTAATAAAATAGCCAAATTGCACCTGGTGGTTCAAATTTCACTTATTACTTTTCCTCGCAAAATTATGTGATTAAAATTATGAAATTAAACCCACATACCTCGAAATAGTGACTGAATAGTATCTAGATAATTATTGAAAATTGAAATAAACATTTGTTTCTACGAAGTTATCAGTCACTATTTATTATCGTATTGTGAAGATCCAATAACTGGTTTTGATGTTCACAGGCAACATTACAAAACACATCATATATATATATTTGTAAGACTGCATTCTCATATTATTGAATACAGAATATAAGATCATTAAAGTAGTAGAAGCCAGTTGTTCAAGGTTTCGTTTTTATCAACTTATTTAGCCAATTGTGAAAGTGTGTTGTCTAAAGTTCTAAATTTACCAAACTAACAATAAAACCCAAAGTCGATGCTTGATAAAAGGTTATCATCGTTAAATATCATCGTCTTCAATGGTATTCTTATAGATTTATGGTTTAATTGATTCCCATTAAAGTCTATATAAAACAATGATTCTGTATTGTTCTCATATAATTCGTGTAGCACCTAAATATCAACGGTTAATCCCACAACTTATGTGAGATGTTAATAAATGTAAAGAGAGAGAGATACACAAGGACAAATGTTGATATTTTTAGGTTTCGAACAAAAGAAATATATGTCAGTTTAATCAATCACATGTCAAGGTCTAAAACTATTGTAAAACAACGATAACGTCTAGTAGAATATGAACACCAGCGTCACGTGGAAGAAAATGTCACGAGATGTTCACAGTTCGTATCTCTCATTATTGCTCGAATAAGTTGTAGATAAAATCATAAATAATATTCA